TTTTTTTTTTTTTTTTTGTTTTGGTACAAATTAGTGTATGTTTGATCTGATTCTTGATTGTTCTTGTCCTGTTGTGAAGTATTCATTTGTTTGCATATTTATGGCATGTAATATACTTTCAGTTGTGCATTTATGAATCTTGAGGCATAATATTCCTATGATTCATTATGAGATGAAGTAAATTCATCTTCATTCAATGGTGTTGATCTATATTGTTTCATTATGATATGGATCATATCTTAATGAATCATAGGTAGGGCTTCAAACGAGTCGAGCAGCTCGCGAGCGCTTGAGTCAAAGATCGGCTCGAGCTCGAGCCCCATATTTTACATTGTCGAGCGGCTCGAGATATGAAATTACCAAAATACTTTTCTATATATATATGATTTAATGGTCATTTTACAAAATTGTTTGAAAAAATTCGAGCCGAACTCGAGCATTTTGAATTCAAGTCGAGCTCAAGCTCTTGTATTATTTTATCGAGTCGAGCTTGAGCTCGAGCAGCTAAAAAAAAATTCGATCCTGCTCGATAAGGCCAATGCTCGACTCGGCTCGGCTCATTTGCAGCCCTAGATATGAAGTAAATTCATCTTCTGCTACTGCTGGTAAATTCAATTGTGTTGATCTATATTGTTTCATTTGAACAATTTTTTTTTTATTAATTTTTTTTTTGCTTCTTTGTTTATCGATTCTAACTCCTCTTGTGCTGTAAATTATTTACAGGATTGGTGGATCAGGAATGGATATTAGGAGCAAAGCAAGGGTAAATTTGTTCAATAAATTAATTTTAAGAATTGTTCATTGTGCCCATTGGTACAGGTGTTTCTATATCAGCTGAAATAATCATTAAATTAATTATACTTTTTTTTTACAGACTCTCCCGAAGCCAGTGACTGATCCTTCAAAACTTCCCAAGTGGAACTACGATGGCTCTAGCACTGGCCAAGCTCCCGGAGAGGACAGTGAAGTGATTTTATAGTAAGTGAAATATATTTTCTTCTCTGTAGAATTTAACTATAAAATATGGATTGATACGATCCCTATAGCCGAAAACTAGGCTTAAAGATCTTCTTTTTTGTCCGTTTGTTCGTTGTATCTGTCTTTAACGTATGAAATTGCTGCCTCAAAGTTTTAACGCTCGTTATATTTCACGTCGACAGTCCTCAGGCAATTTTCAAAGATCCATTCAGGAGGGGAAATAATATTTTGGTGAGTTGTGCCATTTGTTGCGTGTCTTTTTTCGCAAATGTGTTAGGAATTTGGTTTTTTTTAAACTTTTCCTTTCCTTTTTTTTTCTTTGTATTGTTAGGTTATGTGTGATGCTTATACTCCAGCTGGTGAACCAATCCCGACTAACAAGAGACATAGTGCGGCAAAGATCTTCAGCCATCCTGATGTTGCTGCTGAAGAACCATGGTATGTATTGAATGATGGAAGTTTTTAATTTCTTGTGTATAATTTGTTCCTTATTTTCTTTCTGCAAGCTTTTCTCATCATGTAATTTGTTGCCGAAGGTATGGTATCGAGCAAGAGTACACCTTGTTGCAAAAGGATTCGAAGTGGCCTCTTGGATGGCCCACTGGCGGTTATCCTGGTCCTCAGGTGATTTTCATTGTTTATTTTAGTACTGTCCTTTTCTCGTCATTCATTGTGGCACGTCTATTGTGTTTTTATATTCCGGTGGATATAGCTCTTGATGCTTGTTGAGGGAATTGCATATTTCTTGAGTCCATATGTAGAATATTGTACATATTTCATTTGGGGTTCTTATGGAGCCTGGTGGTTAGCAATTGCAGACTATGATAATATATTCTTTATTGATTTTCTTTTATTTTACACTTTGATTTTCTGTGTCAGATCTACATAAGGTTTACCTGGCAAGTAAATAAATAATAAAAAAAAAAAACTAGACGTATCCAGTTTTCTTTTTTTCTTAGGGCAATTATTATAATCTAGTTTCCAATTGCTTGTAGGGTCCATATTACTGTGGAATTGGAGCTGACAAAGCTTTTGGTCGTGACATTGTGGATGCTCACTACAAGGCTTGTCTTTATGCCGGAATTAATATTAGCGGCGTCAATGGGGAGGTGATGCCCGGCCAGGTAATTGAGTTGGCTGCCTTAGAAGATATATATATATACACACACACACATTAATTGTTTTCTTAACATTCCCCTTTTTTTTTTCCTTCTTCTTTTAAAGAGGATCAGTAGTCTTGACATTCTTAACGTTCTCAACATCCTCCTGTTATCTCCTATGTATTGTTCAGTGGGAATTTCAAGTTGGACCTGCTGTCGGCATCTCAGCTGGTGATGAGGTTTGGATTGCTCGTTACATATTGGAGGTAATATTCTTGACCGTTTTATTAATTTTAATTTCGAACTCATGTGCATATCAACCAATATTTCGCTGAAATATATGTATTAATTCCTTTGATAGAGGATTGCTGAAATATCTGGAGTGGTTGTCTCATTCGACCCCAAGCCCATCCAGGTAAACCTTTTTCCTTTTTGGTCCATTTTGGTGGTCCTTTTTACTGGGGGACCGACCGCAAACTAATATTTTGACATGGATATTACTGTAATTGTCGATTTATTCATTACTTCCAGGGTGACTGGAATGGAGCTGGTGCTCACACTAACTATAGGTGAAATTTCTGTTTTCTTTTGATTATTTTAAATAATATTTTCATATTGTATATGGCAATTGTGATGCATTTTAATTATTATGTCGCGTTAAGTTCTCTCACATTTTCTCTTTAAATCCTCATTCAGCACAAAATCGATGAGGGCTGATGGTGGCTATGAAGTCATCAAAAAGGCCATTGAGAAGCTCAGCCATAGGCACATAGAGCACATTGCCGCCTATGGTGAGGGCAACGAGCGCCGGTTAACCGGAAAACACGAGACTGCTGACATCAAAACTTTTAAATGGGTAATAAAAAGCTAAAAACATGATTATCTTTTTTCTTGTTCCTTTTCTTTTCACACCTTACCTCATTCTTTTCTAAAAACATAATTTTTTTTTTTTTTTTCGAAAT